ACTATCACACTGGCAGCTGATGGACCAGAACTAATGTATCTGGGACCTCCTGCCACTTCCAGCAGCAAAGTAGCAGAAACTGCTGAATTCCAATATTGTGAAATTAAATCCTGTTAAATTTCACTCCCCTCATCCAGGATGAACTTCAGTTTCCCTGTTGGTGTTTGTCTTTCCCTGCCATGGCATCCTTTCTCAAGTCTTTGGCCATCATCAGTATCTTTCTGTTTTTACTGCAACTCCTCCAAGTATTAATCCCAAAGCTAATCTGGGAGGTATTTTTCTAGAAATCTGCCCTCTGCCCAGTATTTCTCATTTAAGTGCCACCTGCTTTCTTGTTGCTTATGACCTTCACAGTTCACCTAATAAACTTCATCCTCTCTGACTGAAGTCCTTATTCCCTGTGTTGTCTCTGATGCACTGTGTGTATCTGGGTGAGGATCTACCACATAGGCTTGATCTACAGAAACAGCTTATTTTATTTACAGACAAGTTTGCATGGCTGTGAGCCTGTGTCTGGTAAGTGCCATGTTGATTTTCATTCTTAGTTATTTATTATCCAGTTGCACCCACATCTTTTAATTGCTTTCTTTTCTCCAGACTGTTTTCTAAAGCCTGGGTAATGCTGATGTCAGCCTAGCAGGCTTGTTGCTGCCTGAATCCTGTCTCTAAGCCAAACTCTTCAATTCACACACTGGATTTGCTGTTGTGGTTGCAGAGAACCTCCCTCCCTTTTTAAGGGTCTCTGCAGCCAAAACAGCATATTCTTTCACTGCTGCTTCCAGAAGTCTGGAATAGGTATGATCCAGTCTTTCCCTCACCTCACACATGTCTGGCTGTCTTTGCAATCATCTAGTACACCTAAATATTCACAGCTTTAAAGTCTATTCCCTTTTCCAAGGACAGCTGGTAAGACACTGAAACCCCAGGTCCTGCTGCAGTGTTTATGTCATACTGTGAGAGAGTAGCTTAGCTGTGATGGGACAGCACTGAAATCTGGGGTACAGGAGGAGAGAAAGGAGGAAGTGTGATATCTTCTTAAGCTCCAAAAGAGTGCCTGAAGCCCTGGTAGCACAGGAGACTCAAAAATGTGCCTGAGTTTTCTTTCAGGCTCATCTTATCCAGTGATTTCTGGTCAGTGTCTCTGCCTTAGCACAGCGGTTTTGGTCTCCTGCTCCACATCACTCCTATTCCCTTGCCTCATCGTTCGAAGATTCAGAGAACAAATGTGGTACTTCCTTCTGCCTGTGTGAGTGAAAAACACTTCAGATTTGGATCACAGACATGCACTGTGTTGATACTTCTCACCCAAATAGTGATCCTGCAGTTGCCAAGGGTTGGTGTTTTTTCCTCTTTAGAAAGTTGATATGCCTTGGCTAAGTGATGTCCCGGCTTTCAGATGCAATTGTGGCAATGCTAAATTTCCAGGGATTACCACTGCATGTGGTGGAATCTGGGAACCTCAGTCACAAGCTATAAAGTCAGGAGAAAAACCAAGATTCAAAGGACTTGGCAGCTGCTCCATGATGGAATATCCTGCTGTACTCAGGGCCATGGTGCCAAATTGCAACACAAACCATTAATTCACTCACATGATACTCCCTCCTCAACACTGTCATTTATTTTAGTATTCCTTGGCCTTCTCAAACTTTTTGGGAGTCCCAGGGGTATTCCAGAGATTGGTAAACCAATGATACAGGGAATAGTTTGCTCTTGCTCTCAGCATGAATGAGTGGAATGGTAGGGATGTGTAAATTCCAGCCATCTGGCAACAGGGAGGGCTGGGACAGGAGTGTGTGAGCAGTGATGCTGCAGGTGCTGGGGCTGTTGAACAGGGGGTGGCCACAGCCTGGGCTCATGGGGCAGGGCTGTGTCGGGTGTCCAAGGCTGATCTTAGTGGGGTGGACTCCATTAAATCACTGTCTCCAGCCTGTTGCTGGCTCAGGCGGCTTGCAGCAGCCCTGGCCTGCTTACCACTGTGACAGCCAGGTGATCCCAGATGTTTTGGGGATGCTTTGGGCACAGACAGCCTGGACTTGTCTCTGTTCACACAGCTGCAGCCTCTCTGACCAGCGTTATGGAGCATGGACACTCCATCCCATGAGACACAGCGGATGCTGCCCTCCTCCTGCACGGTGCCTCATGGAGGTGTGCAGGGCCACAGCTGCATCTGCCACAGGGCTCCACCCTGGCTCCAAAAGTCACCATCGTGGCCCAGCCGGGATCCCGGCTGCTTTTCTCCTCGGGATGCCGTGCAGACAATTTCTGAGCGGAGAGACTTCCTGCAGCGGAGCCGTGTAAAAACCAAAAACCTGCTGCCAGGCCGGGCCTTGCTGTGAGGGGTTTGGCAGCGCCTGGGGCAGGGATGGTGTCATCGCTTTGGAGCCGTCAGGATGCAGCCAGTGCCGAGTGCCGGTGTCTTCCCCTGCCAGCTCAGCACTCCCGGCCTCCTCCAGCTGCACGGGAGCAGCCTGGCAGGGATATTTTTTTTCCATTTTTTTTTATGTCTTCCCCATTTTTTCTGGAACTCTGTACTGCAAGAGCATAGCAGGGATCCCAGGGGGTTTGCTGCTATCCAGAGAAAATGCCTTGTTCTCTGCCAGATCTTGTGCTGGGGAAGCGCTGGAGGAAATCTGTTTTGCAACGTTTCTGCTGGGGCTGTTGGCAAGAGCCCTGCAAAGTGCAGCAGCCACTGGCCAGTCTGGTCCCTCTGAAGAAAAGAGGACTGAAGAGGTCAGAGCATGGCTGTGACCTGCCTGACCTTTGCTCCTTCCCCTCTTTACTGCAGGTTTGCCTTTTGTTGAGCCCAGAGAGCCTCCTGCCAAGCCAGTGTTCCTCTGGGGCCATGACCTGATGCTGCAACAGGCACCGAAGCCTTTCCCTGGGCCGTTTCCATGCTGCCCTGTGCAGCACCAGCATGAGCTATTTGCATTTCTAACAGCCTTATGTCAGCCTGAACCACCTGGGGTTTGCTTCTGTCCTGGTGAGAAAGGTTCTGGCTGATGCACATGTTAATCACAAAAAACAAACGCCTCCACGTTGTTTTACTAAATATAGGAGCAGTGTCTGCTGCAAGGCACTGCCGGCAGCCCTCAGCGGGGTCACAAACCTACATCCAACACGAGTTTATCAGCCCCAGAGGGGAAAGGGGCTCAGGTTTTGTGCTGTCTTCAGATGTGAGCTGCAGTGAGTCAAGTTTTCAAGGTCAGTCTTGTTCCCTGTCATTTGCAGAGGTCTGAGCCTGGAAATGTGAAACAGGGCTCCTCTGGGATGAGCATCTCAGCCCAGCACTGCATGTTGGATTTTCTGCTTTTCTCCCACTGGCACAGATGCTATTTCACCCTCCTGTGGGGTAACTGATGTAGAGGATTGAGGAAGAAAGTGTACCTTCTCGTTGAGTCACATCTTGATCAATCCAGTGCTGCAGGATGTGTCATTTCCCACAGACGCGCAAGCGTACAGGCACTGCTGATGAAATCTGGTGAGGTCAGGCAGTCATTTCCTCCTAACTGCAGCTCCAGGAATGAATAATGTTTAGCTGAGACCCTGGTGACTTTGTGCTTTGGAGCACTTTTCATTTAAGCAAAATACAAGCATGTTAAAATGAACTCAGGATCTGGATTTTTCCTTCTGGTTATTTTGGTTGTACAGATGCCTGGGACACGTATAACAAATTTGGGGTTGTTCGGTGACAGTCAGTGAATGAAAAGATCCAGAGCCCCAAACTGTCATGCAAAAAGCTTCTGTTAGAAACCTTCACATTGCCAGAAATCTCTTGTGGCAGATGCTTTTTCCAGGAACTTGGAGGACTGGAAGAGCCTCCCAGGCCACAGTCTCCTGAACAATGTGTCCTATCTTCCCCTTCAGAAAAAACACAGTTCCCCATTTTAAAACTCATGATGTGATTCCTTCTGTGGAAGCCAACTCCAGGGCTGCACAGCCCCCATGGTTACAAACCTTGTCACGTGGAAACTGTCGTGGCATCCTCTGCCAATGGAGAGAGCCAGAGCCAAGAAGCAGAGGGTGGGTGAGTGGTGGGAGAGCTGCTTGAAGTTGCTGCAAGTGAGAGCCTGTGCCCCTGCCATGGCTGGCTCCATGCGTTGGCTTTGGGATATCCAGGCCACATGGTTTGTCTCCACTCTGCTGGAAACAGGTCCCTGAGGGGACCTCAGGGGCTCAGGAATGGCAGCTGAAGCAGATGCTTCCTAGCCTGGAAGGTGGTTGCATCCCCAAATAATTTATGAGCATGAGAATTTGAGCAGCTGTCACTGATTTGGTTTCTGGTGCCACATCCAGCCTTGGGTTTGGTGCTGCTGCAAATGGACCTCGAAAACAAACCAGCTGATGTGCAGGGCAGGGAGGGGGCAAGGACTGCCTGGGCTGCTGTCTTCAGCTTCCAACACCAGAGGAGATGCTGCTGGTTTAGAAGGGAAGAAAAAAAAATACAAATAGCAAATAAGAACTTCAGTTGATTTACCAGTCAGACAAAGCACGTGACCAATTTGTGTGCTCCTGTCTGTGTCTCTGAGCCTGGAAGTGAAAACTCCGAGCCTGTGGGAGCTCAGCACAGAGCTGCCAGTGCTGGATCTGCCCCTTATCTCTGCCAAGCACAGAGGCTATCTCACTCCTCACAGGGCTGTGGCAATGCTGGTCAGGGTCCTGTCTCCTCTGGGTCATTCCCTTGAACATACAGCCTGGACAAAGTGGCATTTCCCAAAACCATATGGATCAAACTTTTCCTAGGAGCTCTGGGAATTGTAATTGTTACCTTTATTTACGGTGTTTTATTTGTTAAAAAATAGGTCTGAACCTTTAGATTCCTAACTGCAGATTTTGTTATAAAGTAAAGGGGAGGGAAGAGCATTGCTTGAGAATCACTTCCAGTGCAAAATGGGTTTGCCTCTTCTTGGGAGAGGTTGTCTTATCCCAGCTTGGGCATCTCAAGAGAAGGTGAGGGAAGCAAACCCTTCCAACCCCTCTGATTTTCCTCACTCCTTTTTCAGCCTCCGAAGAGATGAGATCCACATGGCAAGGCAAGGCTGGTCGCAGCCCACTCCAGGCCCTGTATGAGAGCGACCAGGTAAGGGGACAGGGACAGAGAAGTGCTGGGATGAAGATCGAGTGGAGCACTGAGTTCTGACCCTTTCTTCCTCTCCTCTGGTGTGTGGGACACTGTGCCAGGTCCAGCCACTCCCAGGATCCTTGCAGCTGAACCTCTGGCTGTGTCTAAAAGACAATACCACACTGCAGGGAGGAGTAACTTGATAAAAACTGCTTATGGCCCTTGCTGGTACTTGGGCAAACATTTTAATTACTAGTGGGCTGAGCCCTTGTTAGGCAAATCTGGGAGACTTTGCCATCTGAACATTTCAGAGCCAGCTCTGGGCCATCATAGCAGGGCAAGAGCTTCATTGCTGCCCTTTTTGAGCTAATAAATGACAGATGTTTCTGTGCTAACTGCTACATATATATGCATGCACATAGGTATGTGCACATATCTATGTTTACATAGATATAACTGGACTCAGCCATGGGGGATTTATAATCCTGGAACATCTCAGGCCTCTCCATCACTCTGAGCTGGGACAGCTATTCCTGCTGAGAAATGAGCAACCAGGCACAGCTTTGGCAAAGAATCACTCCCCTCCAGGTGGGCTTAGTGGGTCCCTCCCTGTGCAGGAATCAGGGAAGGTGTCCCGCTTGTCCTTCACAGCAGGACATGTGGTCAGAGCCGTAAAAAGTGTTTGTTTCTTTCTGCTGCATTTCCCCCTGGGCAGTTTTCCCCTCATTCAGCCACACTTGCCTTTGCAGAGGGATCTTCACCCACAACTTCCCTGCAGGAAGCCCTGTGGGAAGCCACCCTGCAACGAGTGCCATGCCACATGCCCCAGCCACCAAATGTGCCCTGCACCTCCCCTGTCCATGGGGCTGGCAGCTGTTGCACCCCCAAGAGCAGAGGGCGATGCTGGTGGCCCCTCAGTGGGCTGCCATCCCTGCTGCCTCCCCACTGCCTGTAGGCAGTGCCCAATGCAGCCAGAGTCAAATCTTTTCATATCTGTTGCTTTGTGTTATTGTCTAGGTTGATGCTCTGATGTCTGTAAGCAACCAAAGTACGTTTGCTCTCTGAAAAATGGCAAATATGGACTCCCTTGGCCATGATGCCAGCAAACCCTGATGCTGCTGGAATGTCATGGTGTTATTTCCTTAAAAGTGATACTTAATTTCCCTGGCTTTTAAAGAGAAGGAAATGAAGGGAGCAATTTTGGTCTGAAATAACTGCAAGACATGCATTTATTCCAGTGGGCGGCTGCTGAAAAGTAGTCACATTTATTTGTTGCCATGCCTGCAGACAGTGTCTGTCTGTCTGTCTCTCTGGTCCAATAGTTTTGAATTATGCCAGTGCAGGGAAAAACACCTGAAAAAAATCACATTATTAAAATGCCTCTTTTTCTAAACCCTTGCAAAAAGGTTTTCCAATTCTAAAAGCTGACGGGGAGGCTCCAAACAAAAGAAATTGCTACTGAAAGGTTTGGCTGTGCTGCAAGGCAGCATGAGAATACTTCTTCAGCTGTGGTTATCACCTCCCTAGGTGCTGTATTTTCTTTGTAGCCTAGTAGCCAACAATGTCAGAGTCATACCTTGCTGGCAGTTAGCATCTGTTCACCTGAATTTCCTTCATTTTTGCATTTTCCCTTATCATGTTCCTGTTGGAAGGAGTAAGGATAGGATACTTCTGTCCTCGTCTCAGATTCCTGCCCATGCAGGTTCCTGGAGAAACTGGTCACTAAGGTGACTTGGACTAGGTTATTTCTTTTGTGGAAACAAGATCCAGAAGAGTCTGAGTGTGGTCCATCCCTTGCAGAAGGAGCGGTTTGCTCAGATGTTAGTGTCTCTCTGAAGATGACAGGTCTGCTGGATCATCCACAGGATGGACAGTTTGTGTTAGTATCCCAGCTCCTGGCAGGAGCTTTACAAGCCCTTATAATTGTCTCTGGAAACACCTCACTAGCCCCCAGGGAGCAGTGAGGGAGCACCTGAAGCCTGGCAAAGGGTGTCCTTTAGCAGGCCTGGGCAGTGACAGCTCTCAGCAGCCATGTAGGCAGCAAGGCCTGCCCTTGCCCTTCATCTGGAGGTTGCCACATCTGTGCAGGTGCAGAGCTGTTTGCTGTGGCACCCTCTGACACTGGGAGGATTGTCTTTACAGCCCCAAAGTGGGAGCCACCGTGATGTTGGGAGATGGTGGTCTCTGTATGGCATTAAAGCCACAGCCTTGTGGGGTCAGGGCCACCCTGGGTTAGCGGCTGCTTGGTGATGCTGTTTCCAGACGAGGCTGTTGGATGTTCCCAGTGGTGAGGAACATGAAATTTCCCAACCCTTGTGAGCAAAACAGGGACATGGTGGGCAGGAGGAGGAGGGGACATTCCCCTTCTGACTGCCTGGAAATGGTTTCCTGTCCCAGATGTTCTAATGACATTTTGGGATTTCTGACAAAAACAATGACATGAAAGGTCGTGTCCCCAGATCTGCAAGGGGGTTTCAGCTGGGTCAGGGTTTAAGGGACTCTGGGCTTCTGGTAAGCCAGTGCAGCAGCTGCCAGTTCTTGATGTGACAGTCAGAAGGGTTAAAGAACCATGTTCCTTGTCCCTGCAGCCAAAGGAATCTGACCAGAGTTGAGGCGTTGGACTGGGCTGTGTGGAAAAAGTCCCTCAGGAGAAGGAACCCAAAGCCCCCAGGAAGGGCTCCATCACCACCTACTCAGCCCCTTGCTCCTCTCCATCATACCTGCCACCCCACCTCATCTCCAGCTCCTCCCCTGCTCACCAGGGTTTGATCATCAGCATTAGAGACCATTTCCATTAGCCTTTCCTTGGCAGGTTACCCAGGCCGTTTCCGTGCAGCGTGCCCAAATGTGTGTGCCACGTGTCTGCCCTTGGCTGGGGGTTCCCAGCAGGCACACGTGTGTGGGTGTCAGTGCAGGGCAGCGATGCCCCACAGCAGCAGGAGCTGTGCAGGCAAACAGGCTGTGCTTCTGTTCCTGGGGCACGCATCCCCCCACACTGGTGTGAGGGAGAGCGCATTGGCCCAGTGTGTGTGTCTGCTTATAAAAACTGCTGTTATTGACTCTCTCTGCTCTGCCTGTTCTTCACTCACCCCCCTCAAATTTTTCTCCTCATCACATTTTGTCCTTTCTTTTGATGCCAGCCTATCCAAAGATTAAGTGCACCAAATCCAGTTGGGTTCAAAGTGAGTGCTGTCTCCAAAATCCCACATGGGTGACTGACCAACCCAGTAAAGGGGAAGCAGTGGGGACAACTGTGGGCCAAGTGTTGTGTGTAGGCCACAGTCAGCTTGGGCAAGCCAGTGACCATCTCTGTTGGGTTTTTCCTCCCCAGTTTGAGCAGTCGTCCCTGCAGGCGGTTCACCAGCAGAGAAGGGAGATGTTGAGCAACGTCTGCAGCCGTTACACCCGCAAGCGGCGTCTCCTGCAGCAGGATGACTTGCGGCACTTGGTGGTGGATGACACGCACGGGCTGCTCTACTGCTACGTGCCCAAAGTGGCCTGCACTAACTGGAAGCGGGTGATGATGGTCCTGACGGGGCAAGGCAAGTACCAGGACCCGCTGGGAATCCCCGCCCATGAGGCCCACGTCCCCTCCAACCTGCGCACCCTCTCCGAGTACAGCGTTCCCGAGATCAACTACCGCCTGCGTAGCTACCTCAAGTTCGTCTTCGTGCGGGAGCCCTTCGAGCGCCTGGTCTCGGCCTACCGCAACAAGTTCACTCTCAGCTACAACACGGCCTTCCACAAGCGCTACGGGACCAAGATCATCCGGCGGCACCGGCACGAGCCCAGCGAGCGGGCCCTGGAGCGCGGGGACGACGTGCGCTTTGAGGAGTTCGTGTACTACCTGCTGGATCCACGGACGCAGCAGGAGGGGCCTTTCAACGAGCACTGGGAGCGGGTGCACTCGCTCTGCCACCCCTGCATCATCCACTACGACGTGGTGGGCAAGTATGAGACCTTGGCTGAAGATGCCAACTACATCCTGCAGCTGGTGGGGGCCGACACGAGCGTCAAGTTCCCGGCTTCATCCAAGACCACCAGGACGACAGACAACATGACAGCCCAGTTCTTCCAGGACATTAGCCCCTTCTACCAAAGGAGACTCTTTAATTTATACAAAATGGACTATTTGCTATTCAATTACTCCATCCCCTCATACCTCCGCATCCGATGAGGCAGGGGCTGCCAGGGATGAGGTGAGGGAGAGCTGGATAACTCTCACCTTGCCACAATTCCCCTCCTCCTACTTTGTGCTCATCTCTTGGGTGACTTCTTCCCTGTGCCCTTTTATTAGGGTCTGCTCCACCTCCTAATGCCTTGTTCATGCATGATCTGGAGGAAGAACACTTCTCAAAACACGGGCTGGAGCTTTTCCTTCCCTTTCCCTCCCAGCCTGCAGTATCTACAGGGAATGGTGGTGGGACTGGACACTTCTTGCCTTGGTTAGGGACTCTCTTTTAACTAAGAGACTCCTCTGTAGATCCAAATCTTGGGAAGGCTCCTTTTTTGGGCAGGATCCCTTCAGGTCTTTCTCCTCCATACTGGACTGTTTGGGGGCAGACATGGAGTCTCAGGGGTCAGAGTGGAGTGTATCAGAGACTTGCATAGAATCAGAAATAAAGCAATAATTTAATGTATTTTTTTCATTTTATTTAAAATTGCCCACACTTTTTCTTTTTCTCTTGTTCTCTGTCCTCATCCCACTTCCCACGCCATCCCCTACTGAGGGGGATGTAACACACAGAGGTGTGTTACTCTGACCATATTTTTATCCCTGCAGGGATTTTTTTGTTCCTCTCCTTCCACATGTTCTCAGTTGGGGTGCAAAATACTCCAAAGACAGAGAGGAAAGGCTTGCAGCACGTCCTCAGTGCTTTCCCCTGAACTGCCACAGCAGAGCACTCAGTGCCTGTGTGTGCATGTCTCTGGATTTCTGGTCAAATCCATTAAATCCAGGCCCCACACCTCCCATTTTCTAAAAGCAGGTGATAAAGTTGTAAAGCTGTACAGAGAGAATGGGTGCAGGTGTCGGCTCTGATGAATTCACATCATCCACAGTGTCCTGCCCATGGCCCTGCTGGCAGCACTGGCTTCTCTTCCCATGAAAGCATGGGCTGCTCCTGGGTGCAGCCCCTTTATAAAAGTTATAAAGTGTTTGGGGGAGCACAGGGCTGGGATGTGCGAGGTTGCTGTGGTAATGGAGAGATAATGTTGGACTGGACTGAAAAATCTCTGATGTGTGTGTTTGTGTCCCTCTGTGTGTCCCTGTGTGTGAGAAAAACTTGAGGATAAAAACGGGGAGAGAGACACCTAGAGGGAAACAATCCTTTGCCTGGTTGCCTTTGGATAATCATTCCTTGAAGAAAAAACAGGGAGGAGGTGGTGAAACACAAAAGAAAATGACAAACCGAGCCCTAGGATTTTAAATTAAAACCAGTCCATATTTCAGTCTTTCCTCTTTTCTGTTTGGCCTTGGCTTGCTGGCTGCCTTTGTAAATAAACACACTGGTAATAGATGCTGTAGAGTGTGTCTGCTGGCTCGGCTGCAAACACTTGACTTATTAGTGCAATACAATGGGAGGTTTTATAAAACCACAGTGCTCTCAGTATCTGAAAAAAAATGGTGTTTCCATCTAACAACTTTCAGCTGTTATATCTTAACCTTTTCCCTCTCTTCCTCTGACTGGCATCTATATGCTGACACTCCCTCCTTGCTTGCTCCATTGGAGATTGGCTTCAGCAAAGCAATGAAAAAGAAAAGTAAATGGAGCTGCTGGTGATCCTGGAAGTGTGACTGATTCTCCCAGTCTGCACTAGAGATCTTGAAGAAATGGCCTTTCTCATGCTATCTTGGTATCTCCCTGTCTAGCTGAAACACAAAGCACAAAAACAGATTATATGATGCAACAAATTTCATCTGCAGTGTTCGGGCTTGGAGTGCATTCCTCCTGCTTTCTCAGGAGTCTCGTGTTCCCTGCTTAGAGCTGCCTCTGCCTGGAAAAATCATTGTTCAAATCACTGCAACATCTTTTCATCGCTTTTGGTCATGAATCATAATTTGGGGTCACATACAGGGTCATAAAGGGATGGATTTTTGGATGGTTGTTTGTTTTTATTTTTCCTAAATACTGTTCCTTGCCGGTATCTGTAAAGCGCTGATGGCACAGTGAGTGGCAAGGACAGATATACTCACTCCCAGCTGTGCTGTCTGTGGGTGTTTAGACAATATCTGGCTGGCTGGGAGCTGCTTTGGGCTTTCTTTGTGGTGAAAGTGAGGAAATAGAAACCTTGGGGTTTTGTTCTTCAGCCAGGTGGTTTCTAATCTTTCCTGCAACGGTGGCAATGGGGAGGTGGTCCCAGCTGTGAACAGCTGTTTGATTGGCAGCCTGTCCTGGCATCCCCATCAGACCTGACCCACCGACCCAGTCAACAGCCCAGCTACACACAAATGGACCAAATGCAGCCCTGCATCCTTGGCTGTGAGCTTCTGAAGGCAGGAACCTGTAGAGGTGTGTTTTGGGTCATGTATGACCTTTAGAAATACCCACCTTTGGGCTGATTCTATAAAATCCCAACATCCACAATCCATACCATGTAGGTCATACCCTTGGCTTCCTCTCTGCATAAATCCAAAGCTTTCCAAAGGAAAACCTAACTATGCAAACAGAGAAGAGGCACTATGTATTTCTGAAGCTAACACCTTCAACCGGGGCTGGAGCTTTCCAGGACAGGAATCGCTCAGCACATGCCAAAGTCAAATCCCTGGGACCAGGATGCTCCGGGGCCAGCTCTGGAGTCGGGATGCTGCAGGACAGTAATGCTGTGGGTCAGGGATGCTGCAGGGCAGGGATGCTGCGGGGTTAGGATGCTGCAGTGCAGGGATGCTGTGGGTCAGAGATGCTGCAGGGCAGGGATGCTGCGGGGTTAGGATGCTGCGGTGCAGGGATGCTGCGGGGTCGGGATGCTGCGGGTCAGGGATGCTAGGGGTCAGGGATGCTGCAGGGCAGGGATGCTGCGGGATCAGGATGCTGTGGGTCAGGGATGCTGCGGGGAAGGGATGCTGCGGGATCAGGATGCTGTGGGTCAGGGATGCTGCGGGGCAGGGATGCTGCAGGGCAGGGATGCTGCGGGATCAGGATGATGCGGGGCAGGGATGCTGTGGGTCAGGGATGCTGTGGGTCAGGGATGCTGTGGGTCAGGGATGCTGCGGGGCAGGGATGCTGCCGGGCCGGGGCCGGCTCTGGGCAGCCGCCGCCCTCGCCGCAGGCACGGTCCGACCCTTCCCAGTCCGACCGAAAGCGCTGGAGGACGGGAGCAGGACGGAGCTAGGAGGACCCCGTGTGACCGGTGATCCCAACTACAGGCGGTGTAATTCTCTGTACGGGCGCTGGGAACAGTATCTCTGAGGGCTCCTGGTTGGTTGGGCTTTTTAAACTGTTTCACTGCGTCCCTTTTCCTTTTTAGAGGAGAAAATATCGAGGAGGCCTGGGCCATGTCTGAAGTGTAACTGGATTTGGTTTTCTCCTCCACTTGGAAGTGGGAATGTGGCAGTGGCTGATGTTCAGCAAGGGCATGAACAACAAGGGGATGCTGGAATCTGCCCCCCAGGAGCAGGGCAGGGCATCATGCCCTCAGCCCTGTCCGAGCACTCCTCTCTGAGCAGGGAATGTGACCAGCAGAAGGTGCCAGTCCAGCCTCCCTGAAGAGACAGCCGTGGTGGTAACGTGCCCCCAGCCCCCTGAAAGGTTCCCATCCTGGCCTCAGGCTGCAGAGCCTGGGGACAAGAGACTCTAAGTGAGTCTGGTTGATCCTAAAGTCCTGGAGTCTGGCTTAAGGCTTGGGAGCTGCTGAGGAGCTCTCAGAGCACCAGGGACACAAAAACCAAGAACAGCCTCACTTTGGTATGTTCATGTGTGCACAAATATACAAGGAAAATAATGATTCTATTATAATGTATAATAGAATTACTGCTGGGTCAGTCTATGTATTATATATTGAGTATTTACATTTGTACATGGCTATAATACTTAATAGACATTTAGCTTATGTATGTCTACATATGTATGTCTGTGCACCATCCCATTTATTATTTAAATACTCATGTACCCCCCAGCATAAAAGAGAGCAACATTCCCTTGCTGCACTGTTGAGTTTGCCACAGTCCAGCATGGCTCAGGAGTTAATGAAGAGCCAGCCCCTTCCTCCAAGTGCCTCCTGCAGCTCCAGCCTTCCAAGTGTGGTGGGCACTCTGCCTGTGCTGTTGGTTTTCCATGCTGTGGAGCTGCTGGCCCCATCCTCATGGACCATGTGAAGCTGTTGAGTTTCTCCTTCCAGTGGAACAAAACAGAGCTTCAGTGATCAGGAGGTTTCCTTCCAGACTTTCCTGTGCACCACAGATTGGGTTGTTTACCAGTTGGAGGATTAAATAGACATTCATGGAAGAGAAGGAAAAAAAAGTGTGCTCAAGTATGTCTTGGAAGCAGTGTCTCCCTTGAAGGAGGCTTTACAGATTTGCTGTGTTTGCTGGCTGGCACTTCGGTAAGGAAGCTCCATCTCACAGAGAGTTTCTGGAAAATTACTGTGTTAGGATGGAGGCCGTGAGTGGAAGCAGTGTGGGGAGAAAAATAAATTATTTGGCTATCCCTGAAAACAAAACCCTGTTCCCATCTGCATGTCTGCTAACACTCCAAATTTTCCTTTATTCCCACTAAAGTTTACAACAAGGTAAGCCTTCCACAAGCATCTCACAGCATTGGATGGGTTTATCAGTCCAGGACCAGCACTGAGCCCAGAGGGGCAGATCAGCAGCCAAGGACTAAAGAGCAGCAAGAAAGAAGCTCTCTTCTTCCACCTCCTTTTTTAAGGCTATGGCTTATTTGGGAGCTGTGAGGACTAAATACAAATAAAAGTCACTGTTGGCTGAAACTGAGGAGCTGGTGACTCTGGCAGGGTGGGTCCAGCCCAGTGAAAAGCTGGCACAGTAATTACACACACACACACAGGCACAGAGAAGCCAGGCCCACTGCTGCCAGTGACTTCCCTGCTGGGTTCGATTGAAGACACACATCACTATGAAATGTCCCCACCCTGTCTGGCCTCTGCTACCCACACAAGTCTGCTCTGAAACTGAAACTTGTGGAGGAAAAGGGAGGCAAACAACCCCTCCCCAAATCTCCTCCCTGACCAAATTACTCCAACACAACACCACAGGGAGCATAAAACCAGGTAGGGCCTGCTGTGATGTACTGAAAATTCTTAGAAGCTGAGGAGCCTGCAGATATTTAAGCATCAATTTTCTGCTTTTAAGGGGAGGGAAGGGGGAGGATGTGTGGGCAACTCAGGGGCTTTTGGCCCTGCTGGGATGGCTGGGGCAACTGGTGCCAGGGGACAGAGCAGTGCTGCCCACTCACTGGAAGGGCTGGGGGTGCTGAGGGTTCTTAGAGGAGCAAGTTCAGATGGAGTTACAGGAATGCTCATCCAAGCTGTGCTCCAGGGTTACATGTAAGCTTTGTTAGCAAAGGCCCTATCTCATTTGCACAAAGGAAAAAAGAGGAAAGAGTAAACAGGCTGAGCAGCCACATAACTAGCCTCTCGCTGCCCTTAAAAGAAAGGAGAAAAAAAATCCCCTTTTATTGAAACCATTTCCTTTGG